GAGACATGTACTTTCATACGGACGAAACCGAATATGAATAAATCTTTTCATTTTTTTTAAATAAATTCAGAAATATGACCCTACTTTTTCGGCACACAAGGTGATATTACCCCTTAAGCGCAACGTTACACTTTCTCTTCTCGAATCATACCTCTAAAACTTATTTGACCAATAACAGTCTTTAATGACAGATTTACCGACAGAATTCGCAATGAGCTTCAAAAGTGCAACGTGGAGGGCGCACCAATCACGATAAGCGGCTTTCACTGCGAGATTCATCGAGCCATCGAAATTCCTCTTTTTTTTTCATCTCAAAGAATCGACCGTTATACAACATCGTCGACAAATTTTTCAACCACGTCGATTAGTTGCAGAATAGAAAAGTCCCCGAGTCTCTAGAAATTTTCTGTTCCGCAGCCAATCAATACGCTTGAAAATTTTGTCGTACAAATTTTTCAAGCGTGTCGATTGGCCGCAGAATAGAAAAGTTGTTGAGTCTCTAGAAATTTTCTATTCCGCAGCCAATCGACGCGCTTGAAAAATTTGTCGCGCGACAAATGTAATATCAGCCTTAAACTCCGAGCGAACTTGTGGAAAATGCACGAGACCGTAGATTGCTTACACTATTTACACTCAGAATTTTGGCTTTTTCTCTCTACTCCTCAAACGCCCAAATATACATTTATCTCGTTTCAAGTGCAAAAAAACCTTTCCGGATTTCAAGAAAATCTCATGAAATGCAGATTCCTAGACGACGTAATGGCGCAGAAATACTTTACACGCGATAATCGTCACGTTTAAGTACCTGATGACGCAATGTTATGTTTTTCCGGTATATAATCACCAGCATGATTTCGTCGAAGATGCAAAAGATCCTTGTATAAAGTCATCCACATTTATCCGAAAAAATGCCGAAAAACTTGGATTTTAATTAATGATGTGAACGGAAATTCTTTTATGAAGTAAAGAGCGGCACAAGTTCTATAAATTCGACTGAGTTTTAAAGAAAGTATGTGCATGTATTGTTCAGAGATGAGTTTTCCTTGATAGATATGCGTGGAAATCAAACTAAACCATTCGCAAATAATCGTGAAATCGAAAATTATCTTGTTGTTGGTAATGTTTTTCTTCACCAGTAATCAAATTAATAATACAATATAATCAATCAATTAGTTTCGACATAACTGGCTATGTATTTTTATTGTCACAACGACGTTTCGACTGCAAATCGCAGTCCTCTAAAATTATCGATTGGCTGCGTAATCGTAAATCAATTGTCAATAAATAACGACTGTACGATAAACAATTTAACGTCTGTTAAGCCAAATCAGTGTGTAAAGTTAAAATATTTTACGACGTTTATTTCGCGTGGATATCGGCGTTTAACACATTTATTCGGACGATTAATGTTTATTAATTAAAGGAAAAAAAATTGGTTGTAGAAAATCAACGAATTGAAACGTTGAAAAATCTGAATCTAGTTGTTTAAACTCCGTGTTCAACACATCGCTGGAGGGATCGGGAACACTTTCTCGCCAACAGTAATTTTTGAGTAATTTATTTCGAAACCGCAGAGAGAGAGAGGGGAGGAGAAAGAGAAACGTATATCCCCTCTCTTTCAAAAGAGGAGGCCAACTTCGCCAATCAAAAATAGATTAGGTGGCTAATAATAAATATATCTCAAACTTCTCTTACATTATGAAAACCAGGAACCTTTCAAAGTGCAAAATAAACCGTACGTACGACGCGGGTTCGCCTCGAAAATCTGACTCGAGGGCGGAGTAATTGGAGCAAACTTAAAATAAATAATATTAGTGACATCGGAGTCGTCGGCGTTTTTATTAGCAAAATCTCCGGATCGAAGTGTCCCGAGTACGCGCATCCGGCGCGCCGGCAAGATCGCGCAACCACTTCTCGTGCCTACGTGACTGTTGCTAGGTTAACCTAAAAATTCCACTCGACCGTCTCCGTCGAGAAAAGTCACGAGAGGCGCGCGTTCCCGTCGAGAATCCGCTATATCGATTCAACGCGATCGGGCACACGAGGTAAGAAGCACCGGCGGTGACGGACGGGCCACCATTTCTACACCGCGGCGCGACAACGCGAAGACGCGTGTCCGGCGGGTCGCTAGAAGGCAGCCATATTAAGCGTCATCGTCGTCGCCGCCGCCGCCGCCGAAAAACCGTTGCGCGGTCTCTCCCACGGGAAACGGGCCGGGCGGACGAAAGCGCCCGGGAGTTTCGTAACCCCGACAGGCGTCGCGGACACGTGGGCGCGACCCTCCCGGCGTCCCCGTCGGCGACGGGAAGCCTAGTGGAATTGGTCTGTCCGTCGAAGGGCGAGCTCGCCGACATCGAGATGCTCGAAAACGTGGCGAGATTCTCGCGCGAAAAAAACACCGGCCACCGCCACCGTCGCTGAACGCCACACCCTTTTCGGCGCGCTCGGCACGGAGATCGATCCTCGAACCGGCGAGCGAGCGCGGCCGGTTCCTCGCGCGCCGAGAGACCGTCTCTCGACGCCATCCCGCGTCACCGGGTCGCTCGAGAGACGTTCGTGCGCGTGCACTCGAACCGCTCCAACTGCTCGCCGTCGCGTATCTCCGAGGCACGAGGCACGGAACATGTCCGCCGCCTCCGAACGGCTCGTCATCGTTCCAAGGACTTGCGCGACGGCGAGGACCCGCCGCCGGGACGTGACACAATGCTCGCCGACGACGAGGCGAGGCGTCGCACGGCGACAGAGCCGACCCCGGCCCGGCGATCGACCGGCCGGCCGGCGGCCGCGCGCGTCTACGTGGCATTATATTTCGGGGTTAGAGAGCGATTGACGACGTGCGTGCCGCGCGTCGCGCAGTGATGGGGCGACGCGGCGCGACGCGGCGTGACGCGGTGTTCGGTTCGACTCACTTGTTCGAACCGGTTCATCTCTTGCTCGGGCCGAACGGCTCGAACCGAGAACCGCGCCGGGCAATTCTCGCCGGGGTATCTGTCCTCTCTCTCTCTCTCTCTCTTCTCGCGCTTCGCTCATTTGCACTCTCTTTCTTTCTCTTTCTCTCCCTCTCTCTCTCTCGCTCGCTAGCTCGCTCGCTCGCTCGCTCTCATCGCGCGCCGACGAAGCACCGTTTCGTGCCTTACCGGAGGGCTCTTTTACTCCGCGCACTTTCCCTTTTATCAAGGGGGGCGTGCTACCAAATGTATTTGTCCCTCGTTCTCGCTTCTCATCTCCCATTCGCTCTTTTCCTCGCTCCCTCCCTCCCTCTCACTCCCTCACGCTATTCACTCACTCTCTTTCTCTCTCTCTCTCTCGCTCGCTCGCTCACACACACATACACACACACACACTCTCTCTCTCTCTCTCTCTCTCTCGTTCTCGCTCTGCCGTTTCGTGGTATATTCTTTCGTCGTTCTGCTACTCACTTCGAAGCCCTCAGATTTCGCCCACACATTGCCATCGTGTCCGGCGATCGCCGCTTTGGTAACACACCTAGACGCGAGCAGCTGCTTATCAACGTAATCCTGCCAGCTCATTTTTGAACACAAGGAGGGGAAGAGAAGGCGACCGAAAACGTTTCACTACGCCGCACTAGACGATCACAACCCGTCACCGACTGCCTCGTCTCACGACTACCGATACGCGCAGCGCGCTCCGAAACGCCGGTCGTTCCGCCACCCCCTCCCCCTTTCGACTCTACTCCTTTGCCCCTCCCAGCGTCTATTGCCGTCATCTCGCCGAGTCGTCCTCTTCGCAGCTACGTTTGCTCCCTCTACCCGATGTATCCTATGGCCACTGCGGTTCCTAGGAACATTTGGATTGAACGTCTAGTGAATTACGCAAAGCCTTTCCGCATCAGGCTGGATTCACATGGAGCGTAAAGGTGGAAGCCATCGACATCCCAGGTAGAACATAAAACTCATAATGACGTCATAATGACGTCATCATAATATATTCATCACTTAAAAGTTACCCAAACAAAAATGATTGAAAAATGATTTAAAGAGGACACAAAGAATCATAGATTTTAAGTACATACATATTCAAACATATTGGTACTTTTACGTTATAGTTAAAAGAGAGTTAAAAGAGATAATTAGAGAAGAATTTGTTAATTTTTATATTAATATGATGTACTTATATTATTCTAATATAACTGTCAGAATTTCAATTTTGAACTACTTCTATTTTTTTAAAATCATTTTCTGTTATGCACGCGCAGTTTTTTCAAGTTGCTTTTCCATTAAAAATAAATATTTTATTTTAATTTTTACATTATTAACACATGATCTCTTAAAGTACTACATTTTGTGTGCAATAATGTTTATTATTAGTTATTTATAATAATAATATGTATACTCGCTAATAATATGTATAATGCAAATAAATTTCGTGTATCAATCAATTTGAGATAATATTCTTCTTTTTGGAGGTCATATTAAAATCACTATGATAGCATAAATAAGTCACCAAAACGTAGCCAAAAATGTATCAAATGAGATCATTATGATTTTTTAAGTGATGTCATAATGATGTCATAATGAGTTTTATGTTCTACCTGGGATATAGGCCGGTATTCATAGTCCGTTCTTATATTTAAGATCATCTTAAGTATACTCTTAATGTGTTTTTAACCAATCACAGAACCGTAATAGTCTCTTAAGACAACACTTAAGATGATTTTGAAATAAGAATCGACTATGAATACCGGCCATAGTCATAGACCTAAGAATCTCTGGACCGAGCATACGGCGAGGGGGCTGTTAAATTCGCAGTAAGGGGAAAATAGTACTGTCTCTTTCTACAAGAGGTCACCGTCGGGTATTTCCGCCATATATCCGATGATTCCCGAAAGACTAGACAAGTCTATACTCGCTAACTTCTGAAGTCCAGAGATTCTTACGTCCATGTTCCCGTCGAGAAATTATTATGTATAGACTATACACAAACTTCAACTATCTTCGGTTACATTCGTCATCAAGCCGAATGTGACCTCTTGTAGAAAGAGCAGGGTTGGCAAGTTTTAAACAATGTGTTTAAAACTGTATGATTAAAACTTGTTTAAAACAATAGACATTGTTTTAAACATTTCTGTTTC